AATGCCACAGTACGACATAGATGTCTTTCCCTGGCTTATGGCATGTTCCAAGGGGTTTTGCTCTAGCATGCAAAGCTGGTTGTTTCTAGTTACCCAAACAACTGTGTTTTTGAAAACTTATCCTCTTTGTAGGAGTTCCCTAGGTGAAGACTGCTTTCACAATGGACCGAAGACTTAGAAGCATCCTAAGAAAAATATTAGGGTTATCTAGAAAGCGAACAGACTAAGCAATAACTAATTTAGTCTGGAAATGAAACAAGGGTTTAATTAGATACTGAGTGATAATGAAGATCATTGAAAAGGGCAACTATCATGTTGATTCACATAGAAAATGAGATTAGGGAAATGGTTTTGTTTGTTTATGGGAAAAAGAAGTCCCTAGTAATTGTGGACATAGGGAACAAATTTCAGAGTCCTTATTGGAACCCAGGGCTCAGATGACCAGGTTTCGTACCCCCATGTGTGTGCGGGCTGCATAGAGTGGGAGCTGACACTACCTCCCCAAACCAGTGCAAGCGTGTGGCATATCAGGAGAGAAAGATGAGAATCATACATGAGACTCTTCCCCCTCCCCACCCTCTACTCTGGTTGGGACACTAGCTTTGGCAAGGGCAGAATTGCAAACCAGAAAGCCATGGGTCCCCACCTAACAGTACATGTAGACACTTAAAGAGCAATGTGTCCTCATCCAGAAGCGACACCCAGTTTACCACATTTGTTTGTTTGTTTATTTGGATGCTATGTCGCCTACTGCTGCCCTGGCTGGAATCCATCAGCTGTCAGCTCCACTTAAGAAAGCTCCACCCCTCCCCACCCCCTCTCCTCAGACCCTAATCGACCAGAATCATTGTTTCTCTTCTAACTTCCTTCTGTGCCGCCGTAGTTCAGGGTAACTGGCTTAGCTCAGGACTTTGCAATCTTTCCACCAGACTCCCCAGAGAGTTCTGCAGTCACATAGCTGTAACCTCAAAGTAGCCTTGGGAACTAGAGTCTGACCTATTTTTTCAAATAAAAGTAAATATTAATAAAGTTTTTAAAAAGTTGGCAGGAAGCCTATAGACCTGGTCAACAATTTGCCCTTTCTCTTGATTTTCGTGAAGCACTGGGTCTGAAGCAGTTGAAGATGTGTCACTTTAAATAACTCCATCAGTAGCTCATAGCTTCCCCCACCCCAAGCTGGAAGGCTGCAGAGGCCTTGCTCCCTTGGGAAGGATGCCCCAGCCGTCTTCCTCTCTGCTGCTCGAGACCAGTCTTAAAATAATAGTGTCCCTTGCTTTGCCTTGTCTCTGTACATATGCGTGTGTGTGGGGAGGGGTGTCTTCACATCACGCTACATTGTCCCAGGTCACATCTGCATTTGCTTTACCAGCAAAAGGCACAGAACACAGACTGGCTGCTATTTTGTTGTTGTTTTTCCAGCTTTACTGAAGTATAATTGACAAAAAACTTTGCATATGTAGGGTGTACAGCTTCCTATGTTGATATACGTCTACTCTGTGAAATAACCACCACGATCATGCTAACTGACATATCCATCACCAGTTACCACTCGCATATGTGCGTATGGTGAGAACTCTTAAGATCAGCCACCCTTCTGGCAGATCGTGAGACTATAATCGCATTGCTGTGTATGAGATCTCTAGAACACACTCATCTTGCATGAGGAAACCCTGTACCCGCTGACCAGCATCCCAACCCCCGACCCCAGTGCCTGGCACCCACCATTCTGCTCTCCGCTTCTGCGAGTTTGACTAATTTAGATTCCACGTGTAAACGAGATCATACTTCTCAGGTTCCTAAACAATTGGGGAAATGACTATCATGAATGTAAAAGATCATGATGGACTCCTTCTTTGTTTCCATGACTTTCCATGACTCCAATTTGGGAGTTACTTGTACAGGAAGAGAAAGTAGAGACAGGTGTCTCACAGATGACTCTTGGTTTGTCAATATTTCTCTGCTTTGTTTTCACCCTCCTGGCTAAAGAAGTACTCTGCCACGTCGTTCAAAAAATAAAATAACTAGAAACTCTTTTTTTTTTCAACTGGTCAAGAGTAGCTCGCTGTCCGTATACCTAATTACCTTTTTAGGGAGAAATGCTCTCACCGATTTCTGAAATGACAAAAATCAATATTGTGTAAGTCATGTTTTGCATGTTAAGTGAGTGTTCTCTACAGATAAAGGCAGTAGGGTAGAGGAGTGGAAAAATAAAATTCATATTGTCATGGATGTGATATTTGTTACCCCACCAAATTCATAAGCTGGAGCACCCCGCGCCCCGCCCCCCGCAAGGTGATAGTATGTGGAGGTGGGGTCTTTGAGAGGCAATTAGGTTTAGACGAGGTCAGGAGAGTGCTTTCCCCACGATGAGGTTAGTGTCCTTATAAGCAAAGAAAAGACACTAGAGTTTGCTCTCCTCTCCACGTGAGCTCATGGTGAGAAGGTGGCCATCGGCAAGCCGGGAAGTGAGTCTGCCAGCAGCTTGAGCTTGGACTTCCCAGCCCCCAGAACTGTGTGAGAAATGAAGGTGGTTTAAGCCGCCAGCCTGTAGTATTTTGTTACGGCAACCGGAGCAGAATAACATACATCCACTGCTGGCAAATTCTTATCTCGGCCCTCAGAGAAGCTGGTCAAAGGGAAAATGAAAGTATGTAACCGGCTGATAGAGACAAGTTTAATAAAAGCCTGTGGATGGTGGAAACGTGCTCAGATGGGAAGGTCCAGCTACATACAGTTGCCTTTTGATGTCGACAGCTCCCTCTCCTAATTCCCTGGCCTGTCTAGAGGAGAATTTTCTAGGTGGACCTTACTTGTGATTAGTGGCGAAGATTGTGGGTGAACAAGTATTATGGACTGAACTGTGTCCCCCCAGGGTTCATATATTGAGGCCCTAACCCCCAATGTGACTTAAGGTGGTACTCAAGGTTAAATGTGGCCAGAGCGTGGGGCCCTAATCCAATAGGACTGGTGTCCTTCTAAGAAGAGGAAGACACACCAGGGATGCTCACACAGAGGAAGGGTCACAGGAAGACACAAAAGGAAAGGAGGGGGCCGCCTACGAGCCGAGGAGAGAGACCGCAGGAGAAACCAAACCCGCCAGCACCGTGCTCCTGGACTTCCACCTTCCAGAGCGGTGAGAAAATAAATTTCTGTAGTGTAAGCCAACCGGTCTGTGATATTTTGGGGGGGCAGCCTGAGCAGACTAAGACAGCCTGTCAGGGTCCTTTAGCCATCAGACTGTGGACACAGTACCTAAGAGATTCAAAAGCTTTTTAAAATGCCCCAAGACCTGAACAAAGAAAATGTATTGGCGCAAGAAATGAAAACTCCAAAATCAGAACGAATTACTATACAGTTAAATGTTCACAAAAAATAAGTCAGCATTGACTCTGTTATATTACTAGATCATTCATCACAGAATTCAAAATGACAAAGGAAACTTCTAAAAATTAGAACAAAAAGAATTGAAGGTGGGGTGGACTTAAATATGTTTGATATGATATGAGGTGAAAATCTCCCAAAGTAGGGGTGCATGGTAGGTAACAAGAAGGCCAGGACCAACCGTTCCTTCACACCGGTTTATAAAAGCACGCCTCTTCCTCAAGACTGCTGACTTTCACCCAGGACAGGAAGCCTCAAAGCAGGACAGCCATGTCATTCAGCTTTATTCACACAAGGCGAAGTGAGTGACAGCTCCATTCGGCTGGGCCAGAACTGATGACCCAGGTTGGTATTCGGCACTTCCCAAACTCTTCCACTAGGGGCAGCGCAGGATAAAAACACCCTCTACCCCTGAGGGCCTGGACTGAGGCATAGCCTCAGGTGACCAAGTGACATTCTCTTTGAAAATTAGGGTTTCGTCTGAAAAAAACGATTGTGTATTTTGATTTCTTCCTCATAATATGTCTATATTTAATATAAAAGTAATTTTAAAAACTACCAATAATAAAATTTGACACTCCAAGAAGATGGGCCCTGTTTATTTGGTTATTCACTCCATCACAGACCTCAGAGGTATGGCATCACAGTTTGAGAAATACGGGTGTATAGGAACACCCAAACCCTGACCCTGTAGTTCCTCCTTCACCCCACGATCACCTTTACCTAGCTGGATGACATCATGCTGATTTTGCTTGCTTTCTGATGAGAAGGACCCCATCTTTTTATTCAAGCATCCATCTATTCAACCTTGCTCACTAATCCTCAGATATGTGTGTCCCTTGCCTGCCTCTCATAGTGCTCATATTGGCCCCAATCCGGGAGCACCCTCCACGGCTCCCCTTCAATCCAAAGACCACCCACTCGAATCCAGCTAAAGTCCACCTTCTTCCGCTGCGTCTTCCTCGGACCAATGCATCATATAATCCATATTTTCCTTCTCCAGAATGTCAAGATGTTTTAGTCCGAGTCACGCGTCTAGCAGTGGACTTACAACTGCCTTAAATTGTGCTCTGATAATTTCGTAGACACCCTTGTCTCCCAGACTAGACTCTACGCCTTTAAACGGCAGTGACGTTGCTCTTTACTTTTTCCCTTGTCCCCTGGCAGAAAAGGCTCCTGAGCGGAACAAATAGTAAATGGCCAGTTGATTCTTCTTCGGGTTGATCGATCTAACTCAGCTTCTGCCTCTACTTAAGGATCCTCACCCTCCATTCATCTCGTTCCCACCGATTACCTTCTCTACCCTCTCTCCTGACTCCTTAGGTCAAAAATATTGGGAAACATGATACAGACTTTTTAATGGGAAAGTGCACGAAGTGGCTCAGGATCACCCCCTGAGATTCCAGATTATATGAGGTCCCTAATTTTACTCTTAACCATCTGCCCTTCTCCCTCACAGGATTTGTTATGGTTTGTATTAGGTATTTGTGGATTGCGTGTGGTGTGTTAACTGTTTGCCTGTTTCACTCACTGGATTGTAAGCTCTCGGAGGGCGAACCGCGTGGCTGCTTTGCCTCCCAGGGGATGCTAAGCACAGCGCTAAGCCTGGTACACGTTAGATGTGCAGTGCTCTTGCTGAGTGCATGAAGGAATGGATGTGGAGTCCAGACAAGGCATTTCGGCAGGTCTTTGCATTCTTGTTTCTCCAATTAAAAAAAAAAAAATTCTCTTTCAGACGACACAAGATATACAAAGAGCAGCTGAACCTCACTTCCCTGGACACCCCCCTACAGCTCCGACTCGAGGCCAGCTGGGTCCAGTTCCACCTGGGCATCAACCGTCACGGACTGTACCCCCGGTCCAGTCCTGTCGTCAGCCAGCTGCTCCACGATATGAGGCACTTTCCCACCATCAGTGCCGGTGAGGCTCCCGGGATCAGACAGGATGGGCTCACTGGCTCCCAGGCAGGCTGGGTAAACCACCTCTGGTGGGGCTGCAGGGCAGACTATCAAGAGGTTGACTCTGACTCCTGATAGGAGAAAAACAGGGAAGAAACCATAGACCTTGACCTTTTCCCTTTGAGAAAGATATTACAACCATAACGTGATCACAACCCATAAAGGAGGCATAAGGAGGTGTTCCATCCACCTCATGGCTATCACTTAGCCGGTGCTTCTTTTCACCCTGGCAACTCTCTCTTGTACAGTGATCTTATGACATGAACGTAATCATTGCCACTTTACCGATGGGAAAACTGAGACACAGAGAGGCTAAGCCGCCTGGCAAGGACCCTGCCATAGGGCTGAGATTCAAACACAGGCCTGCTGCCTGCAGGTCTGTGCTGTCAAGCACTGTGACAGTCTAAGTGACACAGCAGGAGCAAAACCAGTATCAGTTTCCTGACCCAATGCTGCTGGGATGGGGCAGGCTGGGGGGCCACAGCCAGCTGCAGCTCCAGGAGGTCCCCTAATGAACAATCAAGGGCCCAGGCTGCCTTGCAGTCTCCCCTCTGGTGTGTGAACCTGTTACAGGCCCCCGTGGAGTTGGCCCTCCCAGAAGCACGACTGAGTGTTCTCACCCTCCTTCTCCCCCTGCAGATTACAGCCAGGACGAGAAGGCCTTGCTCGGGGCGTGCGACTGCACCCAGAGTAAGTGACCGGGCCCTGCACTCCTCGGTCACAGCTTTGTGAACCCCAGGACCTGGCAGCAACGCAAAGGGCCCACCGGCCACTCCATGGGGGTCCTGGTTGAGAGTCCAAAGGGCGTGACTCTCTCTGCCAAATCTCTGAGAACCCATCACGTCTCCCCTCCCCGGCACACACACAGAGAAGGCCCTTCCAAGGGGCTCTCATGTGGGACCAGCATCATCACATCATCAAGATGTTTGTGAGAAACGCAGACGCTCAATTCCCCCTCTGATCTTCTGAATCAGAGTCTGGATTTTAACAGAATCCTCAAGTGATTGGAGTACATTTCCAGATTTAAGAAGCAATTATACGGGACAACTATACAATTGCTTCTTAAATCTGAAAATGTAATCCAATCAGCAACACGTTAGAGTCGCCTGGGGAGCTTTAAAACGTGCTGAGGCGTGACCTCTGCCCCAGCAGGGTTTGACTTGATGACCTAGGATGAGGCCCGGACATGAGCATTGAAAAAACGCTCCCGATGATTCTAGTGCAGCCCAAGTGGAGAGCCACTGGGGTCAATGATTAATAGGATAAGAAAAGACAGGTGTGAGATACAGCACAGTCCCCTCAAGGTGCCATGAACTGGGTACAGTTCGGCCTGGACACTGCACAGCCCTCAGTGTGGCCAGGTCAGGCCTGGACACCGAAGTCCCCAGGCCAGTCACCGCCGGCCATGAGTAGTCTCATCCATTTACCTCAAGATACCGAATACACGTCGGAAATTTCTAAGTGTGACGTGACATGTTAAACATTTGAAAGACAGGTCTGTAGGGCCCGGAGGTCCCCTTCCCTTTAACACCTGCCATTTGCCATTTTATACAACGGGGAGGTGAGTGAGATGTTGTCCCTCGCCTCACAGGGCTCACAGCAGAGCAGGGACGATGTGGCCAGTGAGGCGCCCAGGACACGACACGTCTGGAGGCCGCACTCACTGCCACAGTCACTTGAGTGCATCTTAGGTGCCTTGCTCACCCAGCCCTGTCCCAGCCCAGGTGTACAGTCTTAAATAGGGAGAGATACAGACAAACTAGTCTAATAATGCAAGATAACAGAAGGCAGAATCAGAACCTTTAAGGGGGCCGCCGAAATGCGAAGAGAAAGAGGTCAGTTCTTAGGGGAACATTCTTTGGGATTTTCAGTGAGTGCTTATCTGGGAAAACCTGTCTTGTTGGCCTTTGTCTCATAACAGCAGAAAAGATGTCTTGAGCTCGTGGATGCACTTTCCGTGGCCTGGCACGATGGAACCTACGCTGCAGGCTTTGAAAAGCGAATCTTAGTCTTGAGGGTCTTATTAAGCAAGAGAAAAAGAGAGGGCATGAGCTGGGTTTATTGAATAAGCAGAGGGTCTCAGCCCTGGGGCTCATCCCAGAAGCATGGTTAACTCACCCTTCTCCCTCTCACAGTTGTGAAACCCAGCGGGGTCCACCTCAAGCTGGTTCTCAGGTTCTCGGACTTCGGGAAGGCCATGTTCAAACCCATGAGGTAAGTGATCGCCTTCTTCACCTTTACGCCAGCTGTGGCAGCCCTGGGGGTGTTTTAACCCCAAATTAGTAAAACTGGTCTAAAATGTTCAAGCCAATCATTTGTAGACTCTCTTTTGGGCAATCTGCCCAAAGATTTAACTGTGTGGGGATAATAACAAAAATAGTAAGAGCTAGTCCTTATCAGGTCTTTGCTACACACGTAACATGCCCACGTCTTTGAATCGTCAGCAACGTTACGAGCCAGGTACTGTTAAAATGTCCACTTTGCGGATGATAACACTGAGGTGTGGAGAGGCCAGCTCGCCCCGGCCTTCCAGCTGCAGGCCGTGGAGCCAGGATTCCAACAACTGAACACCAGGGCCACCGTCAAATTCATGCCATTATGGAGTTTTAAATTATTGTTATGATTAGTCATGCACATTCAATGTCTACTCGTAAGAAAGCCCTGGGTAAAGAGGCGAAGGAAGGGTGCTCACGGAGAAACGTGAGATGTTCGAGAGAAGCATCATGAGAATGACGATCTGCAGACTCACCACACATCATCAGATCCGTCGATTGCGTTCTCTGAGCAAAATTCTCACGCGGCATATTAGGATGTCTCTCATTTTTAAAAACTGGAAGCTAATATAGCGTGAACAAGCTCCATTTTCGCTTTGGAGAGGAAAAACTACTCACGCTGGCTGTTGTGTTTGCAGGAAAGCACACGAAGTACCAGCTTTTAAAACCTCTCCTCTGCTTTGTCAATTACGAAGTACAAAGATTGTACAAATCAACCAGTTTGCTTCCTGATATAATGCGAAAGTTTCCAGCATTAAGTCACAAAAGCCATTCTCTCTCTTCTTGTGCTGGAACACAAAGTTTAATCTGTACTTTTATAAAATTTAGTTCAAGGTGAAACATGGCATCATTTTAAAATGTACTTCTTGAAAAAAACACGCATTTCTTTCTATAGGTAACTTAAAGTAAACTTGCCCCTTATTATAAGGGAAAGTAGAAGTTGATCTTTGGATAATATCAATCATGACCACAATTAAAGGCTATATTTTGAATGTAATATATACAATATACACCATGAGAAAGCGCTTTGAGAAGCACCGATGTAAAGTTAAAATGACTTTCAAATTTAAAATCACTTGCCTGTCACATGCCATACAAAAATGAGGCAAGGATGTTTTAGGAAATTCTAAAGGGTGTCAGAGAGATTAGATGTTCTATGGCCGGAATGCAGGAATTAAAAGGAGATTAGGACACATGGCCGGCCCTTGCTGGCCTAGACATTCACCTTGGTGCTGATGGCAGGGGAGGGATGGGGGGAGGGATGGGAG